GTTCGAACCATCACCAATTGGCATACCCACAGTCTACTCCATAGACTGTTTCACCGGGTACATCACACTTAACTCTTGGAACGTACCACGTAATCACATCAATGATCTTCCCGATAGAAACCAAGCAACTCCAAATATCCCGTAACTCAGACAAAAATCTCAGAATCCTCTCGACGTGACTGCCTCTAGTCATCTCGAAGCCTCAGACCGACACACCGCCGGATACCCCAACTATTTCGAAATAATCCTGACTCACGGTCCGGAAATAATGCACTATCACACACCTCGTCTCTGGCTCCTCGACCAGCCTCCCAATACGGGAATCATCATCAAAGCACGAGACCTCACTCTCACGGTCGATACACAGCATAACGACGAGGGCCACTGCCCTAGTATACTCCTCTTGATCACTTGGAACCGCTGCTAAAAACATGCCTGACTCGACTAAGGCATCTCTTTGTCCTCATCTCAGTCTCCACTAATAGTTCTCTCGTGGCATAAGGAATACCTTGCAGCAAACATACTACCCAAATACTCCGGTGAAAAGGTCACCACCATATGTTACCCCACAGGGTTTACCTCCAAACACTGAAACCGGAAACTCGATATCTCCTTCGCTTCTCCCAGAAATGGGAACAACGCAACTCTTTCCGCAGAAGGTGACGTCTCATCCATCAGCTGATGGCTCGACTCAGACCTCGATCCTCCAATAAGCATCATCTCTACTCATCCCTGAGCCTTGCGACTCCAACTAACATCTTACCAGTAAAATCCCTCGAAAACGAACTCAATTTCCCTTTCAAGGTATACTCCATTAAAACTTGATCGACATGGCCCTCTGGCCCTACACTCTATCATCTGATCTCAGACTAATCAACCACCACGGGATAACTGGTAAAACCAGAAGCACTAACCGCCACGAATCATGGTACTCGAACCATGTGATCACCTCTCAATATGCTATGAATCATGGTACCCGAACCATGTTATCTCCTCTCAATCTGCTATGAATCATGGTACCCGAACCATGTTATCTCCTCTCAATCTGCTATGAATCATGGTACCCGAACCATGTTATCTCCTCTCAATCTGGTATGAATCATGGTACCCGAACCATGTTATCTCCTCTCAATCTGCTATGAATTATGGTACCCGAACCATGTTATCTCCTCTCAATCTGCTACTTAGAACCTCTGTAATTTTCCCTGTTTCGAGTACGGGTCCTCTGCTTTCAGTAGTACGGGCCCATACTACCTGCCACATCTACCCGTACTTTCTACACGGATCGTCCCATAATTCCTAAGTAGCTCCTCAACCCTCTCGATCACCAATACCGATAAACTTGGTCGCTTCCCAAAGAATACTCTCCTCTATCAGCGTACTCATCTGACTAAGGCCACTCCCTAGGCTCTTCCTAGGTCCCCTCACTTCTCCGCCATCAGCTGCTGAAGAACTCATTATGATGCTAGTCATCTACCTCCTGAATATCGTCATATTCACTTAGTAGCTGACTCCCATCATCAAGAGTTCCACAAAGCACGAAGCAAGCAGCATTCGGGCATCAAATAATCTCTATAACACATAAAACCACTCTAGGTGACCACTCCACATACACTCAAAGGTATCACCGAACTCAAGCAACTCTACCCTCTCGCGGATATTTAACTACTCTCTCAGTAGGTCCCTCCAATACTCATCTAGGTATCTCACCTGGATTACACCTCTACTCAAAGTTCTCTCTAAAAGATTCATGTTGGATACTCTTACTCAACACATACTAAAAGCACACCACAGATAGCAAAATTCCTAGGCTAAGGCATCACAAATCAGGCAACTCTAACCCTAGCATATGAAATACCTAGCCTACCTTCTAGCATGCATCACTAATATCTTAATAATAACTTATAAAACAATTAAGTAAGGGTATTTTGGGAAATCACCGTTCGGGCTCTGGCTTATTGTACTCACCGCTCCTTCTCGTTTTTCACTTAGAAACTCTTTCTCGTTTTAGAAAAATCATTGCATTTGAAATTTTTTCTCAAATCCTCAGTTTGAGTCCAGATATACCCGAAGGTGCATCCGAATCCCTCAAACCAAGGCTCTGATACCAACTTGTAACACCATAAATTTTCAAACAAAATTTTTCATTTTAAAATCATATAATTCTCTTAACACATTTCACAAAAATCTCATTGATTTAATTTACAAAACACAACTCCATAATTGTTTGATTAGTACTCCAGGATCCTCAAAACATAACTCCTGCTCTGGTGTGTACAATCAAGCCGGTGCCTTCCCGCGATCTTGAGAAAACCTGAAACACAAATCACATAACACGGTAAGCACGAAGCTTAGTGAGTTTCCCAAAATACCACTCGTAACTCATCAGCCTCTCATGGCTATACTCAGATAAGACCCTCTGGTCAAATGTGTCTCAGTGGGACCCTCTGGTCCCACAACTCAGATGGATCCTCCAGTCCCTCAACTCAGTAACTCAATATAATACACAGCATACATATCACAAAGACAAATAAGCAGGATAACTCAATACACAGTATATGCACATAAGACCCTCCGGTCACACGTAGATTACCACTCAAGGTAAGTACAGTGAGAAGACTCACCTCGGATGACGAACAACCCCTAAAAACGTTGTTGCGCACCGGCCTCTATATCTGAGCCAAACCCACAATTCACCCAATTAGGAACTAAGTCCAAACTCTCACTCATTAGGTATAAAGGTAGCCCACTAACTAGCCCATTAATAATCTAAACCCATTGGGCCCATCAAGGCCCAATAATAAATGGACTCTCCCGAGGCCCAAATTCTCAAATCTAAATGGCAAGCCCACTCAAGGGCCCAAAGCACATATATATATATATATATATATATATATATATATATATACATATTCCTCTGGTCCAAAACTCTATTGCAACCAGTCCAAACTCCAGCCCCAACACTCAAGGCCCAAAATGAGACTTAGCCCAAAAGTCCACAGTGAGGTTACGAGGGGCGTACCTCCCTTGGTACGCTCAGCGTACTCACGAATTCAGATTGGCCATCGGGGACACTTGGTCAGTACGCGGGGCGTACTGGAATTACGCTCAGCTTACATCCAGAATTGTTATCTCCACTCCCTTGGTCTTAATCCGTTAAGACCATAGCTATACTCTTAGATCTGGTCTCCATAAAGGCTCATACACAATAAAGCTCGTGACTTTAAGTCTTTGCATGGCAGATCAAGTCCCAAACACAAAAACTCTTACTCTTTACTCCGAAAAATGCTCATATCTTATGTATGAGGTGGTTCCAACGTCCAAGGCCTCATTTTTATGAATCCTCTCCACTAGAAACACTTAAAGGGACATATATTAGGCTCTGGAGTTCAAAAACTCATAAAGCTTCAGTCTTTGGGACCAAGAACCCTAAAATGGACCCAAAACAAAAACTAGCACAACAATAAGCAAGTTTCAAACTTGATACCTCTAGAAGATGCACCAACAAGAGAAGAACATAGATCCAAAAGCTATATGCTCAAGCTATTCTCTTTCAAAGCTCCCTCTTCTTCAAAAGCCAAACATAACAAGTCATCACCCCACTAGATCCACATGAGAAAGCCACCAAGATTCAAACTTTATGCTTTCTGGAGCTAGATCAACCTGATTAGGGCTTGGATCCACAAGCTCCAAGCCAAGCAATGCTTCCTCAAGGAACTCCTTCTTCCACAATATGCACCAAAAACTCACTAAATCACCAAAATGCTCAAGAATCACTCAAATGGAGGCTTGGGGTTGATTTCTAGGGTTTAGAGGGATGGAGGATGAAGATATTAGGGTTAGGTTATGAGATAAGGAGCTTAAATAGGGTCCAAGACCCTAAAATAGGGTTCAGGTCTGATTAGCGTACGCCTAGCGTACTTCGAAGAACATTCGCGACCACCCCTGGTCAGTATGCCCAGCGTACTTCCTTTTTCACTAGTACGCCCAGCATACGCTTTGTGTACGCCCCGCGTACTCGACTAAGCCTGAAACCACAAAACTTCTAAAGGTCATAACTTCTTCGTTATAAATCTGTTTCTGACGATCCTCATATCCACGAAAAGGTAACGAGAAGCCCTACACTTCTATCAACTTTATTCCTCCTGGAGCCCAATCGAACTCAGATCCAAAATTCATGAAAAGCTCGAACCAGCGCCTTTAACAATACATTTGGGCTCTAAAGCACAAAACGAACTCTTTTATCACACAACCTACCTTACCCACATCCTAAAAGGGCTTATACCTTTCTCTTTCAAATCCTCAAAACCTTCTCATACTCGGATTAAGGCCCACGGGCCTTAAATCACAAAACAATCCAGAACAGGATGTTACAGCTGTGGTCGGGTTTGGGTTCCTATGTTTGGTGGGGTCAGATAGGTTGTGTTGGAGGAGGCTCATAAGTCTCGCTTTTCTATCTATCCGGGGTCCACCAAGATGTATCGGGATCTGAGATTGAGTTATTAGTGGTCGTGCATGAAGAGAGAGATCGCTTGGTACGTTGAGAGATGCTTGACCTGCAGGTAGAGGTGGCAAACGGGTCGTGTCGTGTCGGTTTTGTGTCGTGTCGAAACTTAAACAGGTTGGAAATACGTGACACGGACACGACCTGTTTATTAAACGGGTCAAAAATTGTTGACCTGAACTCGACACGTATGAAAGACTCTAACCCGACACAACCTATTTAACCCGCGAAACTTGTTTAACCCATGTAACCCGTTTAACCTGTTTTACCCGTTTAACCCGTTTTACCCATTTAAAGAATAAAATTTCCTGAATTTTACATCAGGAAAGTAAACAACCAAGTCAGTAGATCAAAACTTAAAGTTCACAAGTTAAAGCATTACACATTCAAAGTATTAAGAGAAGTTTACAACCCAAAATAATACCAAGTTTCCAAAACATCAAACATCCACAACATTAAAAAAATACAAGTAATACGAGAATTCAACTTCAAATCTTTAACCTAAACCGGAATGTTGAGTTTGAATACTAGGAGTACTTGGTACATCACTTTCATCTTCATTCACATCGCCAATCTTCATTGTTAAAGTATGTTTGCATAACGCCTCAATATCTGGATGCATTGAACCTACAAATACAAAAAAATGATATTAGCATTACTTTCATATTAAATGCAATTTTTTTTGTAAATGCAGTTTTTATAAATGCATAATTTTAAATATAGTTGTTTTGTAAATGCAAAATTTTATCTCTTTAAAAAATGCAGATTTTACTCTTAATATCTGTTTAAATGCTGTTTTTTTGTATATATAAAATTTTATAAATGCATATTTTACCTTCACTAAAAACCTAATCTCTAAGACAAACCAATGCTTCAACAGCATTTGCCTTCAATGAACTACGATAGGCATCAAGAACTCTTCCTCCAATACTGAAAAACAGATTCGGAAGCAACAGTAGATATTGGGATGGCCAAAATATCTCTAGCCATTTGAGAAACAATGGGATACCGTCCTTGAAGATGTTTCCAATACTCCAACACATTCAAATCACCCGTACGAGGTAATTTTGGCTCCTCTAGGTAAGATTGCAGCTCAGATTTACCACCAGTAGTAAATTCACAACTAAAGAAATCATCAAAATCCTAACAAAAAATGTAGAAGTTAGGCAAATACAAAAAAAAATCATAAAATAAGATAGGAGCAAATTATTACCGTCATATATGTGTCTGACTTATCATTGGCAACACCAGAATGAGATGAGCTTTCATTTTTCTTGGTTGTAGCACTAACAGCTGCATACTCATCAAACAAGGAAAATAATTTTTTCTTAAACAAATCCAACTCAACAATAAAAGATGAAACATATATCTTTTTGAAAGCCCATTCAATAAAATGAAACTTGTAACGGGGATAAAAAAACAATGACAATTCCCATAATAGTGCTAAACTCACACCAATACTTGTCAAACTTCAAATGCATATTTTTAGCCATGTTCTTTATAGAAGTATCACCATTTTCCTTCTCTTCTTGCAAAAGCAATCTTATCTTTAAAACATTAGGGAAATAAATATTGGAAGTTGGATACTTAGAACCTGAAAAAGCTAAACTCACATCATAGAAAACTTGCAAAAAGTTGCAAATTTTTTCAATCCTACTCCACTCTTCGAAGCTTGGGCAATGAACATAGTTTGCATCAGTCTTTGCCAAATGAAGAATTGTTTTTTTGTGATATAATGCACTATCTAACATGTGATACGTAGAATTCCAACGAGTTGGAACATCTTGCCTTAGCCCTCTTGTGGACTCAAAGCCAACATATTGAACATAACGCAAAATTGATTTTTTCCGAGCTTGAGAACCTTTGTAATACTTAACAATATCTCTCACCTTAATGATAGCTCCATCTAATTCTCTTATGCCATCTTGTACAATCAAATTAAGGATGTGAGCACAACAACGAACATGAAAATAATCACCATCAAACATCAAATTCAAATCAAACTTCAGTGCATTACCCATAGAATCATTTGCAGAGGCATTATCTAAGGTTATGGAAACTATTTTCTTATCAATTCTCCACTGTTTTAACAAGCCACAAACTCTTTCAGCTAAGGAAGCACAATTATGGGGAGGGGGCATAGAAGTAAAAGCTAAAATTCGTTTTTGCAAGCACCAATTATGATCAACAAAGTGAGCAGTCAATGAAATATGCCCATCAGTTGTCACAGAAGTCCAACAATCTGATGTTAATGCTATTCTACCAGGAACAAGTTGCAACAAATCACAAAGCTTTGATTTCTCAATTGAATACGTGTTGAATATTTCTTTTTTTATGGTATTTCTGCAAAATGTTTTAACTTCTGGATATAAGTAAGCAAAACATTTCCTAATACCTTCATATTCTACAAATTGAAAGGGAAGATTATGTGTAGCAATAGCAACAACAACCAACTCACGAAATTCATCAGCTTTAAAAGTAGGAGATCTAGTACCCAAAGAACCTTTCAAATTAGATTGTATAAGAAGCTGTCCAACATCTTTATAACTTTTGTATATCAAATCACAAGCCCTTTTATGCCTAAGTAGATTCCCTGTCCCGTGACTACTTTTAGCTATATACGTAGTCCCACATTTCTTGCATTTGCACAACATATTCCCCTTACTATCTGACTCTTTAAGTATTTCAAAGGCTTTCCAAACACGAGAAGTAAGCTTACGTTTTCGTTTGACAGGGTTACCAGACAGATTCGGTTTATGCATATTCTGATTAGATATTGGTGGTGCACTACCAACCTCCTCTTCCATCTCATCTCCTATTTCGTCATCAGAGACATCAACTTCATCACCAGACAAGTTGATTGGTTCATCCATGGTTAACTTAACTGCAAAAAAAAATAGTACACATAAGAATAAAACCCAAGAATAATGTAAACAAGTAACGATTGATATGTGGGAGGAAGTAAACTGGTTGTTGTTGTGACTCACAAGGAACGATTGAACGAACGACGTAAGAGGCAAAGAAAGACGAGAATCGAGAGCGTTTTCGTGGTTTCGTGGAGTGTGGAGTGTGTTCTGTGGTCACTGGTGTGCGGCTGGAAGGAAAGAAATTAGGTCATCAGATAATTAGGTCAAATAATCTCTTTATTAGCCTAATACCCTTTGAACACAATTACAGCCCAGTATGTTTCTTTAGCCCAATACAATCTATATATATATATATATATATATATATATATATATATATATATATAATTATATATAAACGGGTTATTTTCGTGTCGTTTTCGAGTTGAAAATCTTAACCCTAACCTTACCCATTTAATATTTGTGTCGTGTCGTGTCAACCCATTTAATTAAACGTGTCGAAATCTTTAACCCAAACCCATTTATTTCGTGTCGATTTCGGGTCGTGTCAATTTTTGCCACCTCTACCTGCACGATGGTCAACTGTGACATCCCCATTTTCACGGCCAGAAAAGACCGATTTTGTTTATGCTTGTTTGAAAATCAGAGTAACATTTTAAATAAAAGTGTTGCGGAATTTGTCCCAAAACAAAATATGATAAAGATTTATCAAAAGCATTTCTAAAGAAATGTATTTCATTAAAAGACTCAGGATGTCATGTTCGATACAGATCAAAAGCATAAACAGTACAACATAAGCCTTACTACATTATTTCGTATCTACAGGCCTATATCCGTAATCCCTCATCCAAAACATCACATCTATGCTCGACCGCCACTACCTGTAATACATGAAACTGAGTGGGTCAAGCTTGGGAGCCTGGTGAGCACATAGGGTTTTCAACCCACAATAAATAAGTTATTTAATTTCATCAACCAACAATAACCCGATTACTCGTTCCCGTTATCCTCACTTTACGTCCCTAAAACACCTATCATAAGGGACCTAGCCTAAGGATCATTATCGGGATGGACACTACTGTTAAGGGGGTTCCTCAGTAATAAATGTCCTAAAGGCAACCATGAGGGGGATGGAGTACACCGATGAACACATCGTTCACAAACACCTACAGGTTGCGAGCATGCTAGCGTTCCATTGGACTGTCTAGAAGAGTCCGTGGTCGTCATCTATACTCCGCTAGATGACTGGATCACCAACAACATCGAGGACTCTCATCATTTTATCACACATCGTCTTATTACATCTACCCATGTTTTACCCCAACATTTTTGTAGATATAAAATACATATACAGTTTAAATCATTTAAAACATGTATAAAAAATATTTCATCAGCATAGACAACAAACAACATCGAGGCCTCTCATCATTTTATCACACATCGTCTTATTACAAACAACATCGAGGCCTCTCATCAGCATAGACAACAAACAACAAAAAATATTTCATCAGCATAGACAACAAACAACAAAAAATATTTCATCATCTATACTCCGCTAGATGACTGGATCACAAACAACATCGAGGCCTCTCATCATTTTATCACACATCGTCTTATTACATCTACCCATGTTTTACCCCAATATTTTTGTAGATATAAAATACATATACAGTTTAAATCATTTAAAACATGTATAAAAAATATTTCATCAGCATAGACAACAAGTATTCAGATAATATGCACACATAGCACGTAGTTTATAATAAATACTTCATATCTATGTGTAAGATGAAAGAGACTATGCACTCACCTGAAAGGTGGTGACTCTGCACTTGAATAGCGCTTCGTTATCTCAAAATAATTTTCCCTCGACAAAACCTAGTATCAATACCACTAGGGTTTACTCTAACGTTAACCGCGACTAATTAATAGTCTAGCTATTATTATTATTATATAAGCGTTAAACAACACTCTATATAACTCATAATAATAGCCCAAATAATTATTTTAAGGACCTAATAACATTACTATAATTATTTAAAAGTTATATTAAAAATTTCATAGGCGTAGCTCACTTACAGCGGATTTTAAAGAAAACCGGGCTTCGCTTGGAGCAGCGTTTACGAACCGAAAGACCCTTTTTCTCGGGACTCCGGGAGCCTCGAGGCTTCCTTCGGGTGCTAGGGAGGTTCCATAGGGTTTAGGGGGGTTAAAACCCTTAGAGAGAGAAAGTAGTTTAGAGAGAGAAGGAGAATGGTGTGAAAAATCCGAGAAATCTCGCAGCTATTTATAGGTTGCTGGCTTCGGACGAACGCTAGGCGTTCAGCAGCTACGCGGCGCGTAGCTTCGGATAGGGCTGCCAGGTGGATCCAGCTGTCTCGCACTTCGGACTCGGATGGATAAGAACCGAGGTACAGAGATCCGGGCTAGTTAATTTAGAGATAATAGAGGTCGAAAACGACTTTTCGACAAAATATTATTTAGAATACATAATCTTAACCGAGTTGTATAATATGTATCAAGGGTTCCGTACATATAAAGAACGCCGGAATCCGAGTTATAACGAAGAAGTTATGGCTCGTCGAAGTTTTTCGGCAAAACCGGCACGACACCGGGAGACGTAATTAGTGAATTTACGATAAAAGACTTTTTAGCCTTAGTGATCTAAACAAAATTTGTAGTATACGTTAAACCGAGAACATACAAAAAAAGAACGCCCAAATCTGACTTCGTATGAGGAAGTTATGAATTTTATAAGATTTGGCATAGCAGTGCACGACCCGAAACTCGAATTTTAGTTCGTGTGGTTTTTGGCCTACGCGACCTAAATTAGAGTTGAAGATCTCATTAATAGGAACTCAACGGTAAAAAGACAGACGAAAACGGAGTCCGTATGTAGAAGTTATGAATTTTACGCGGACATTTAACAATATAATATCCTCTTACTGTTAAATTTAAGATCAGTCGAGAATTAGCCGACGGAGTCTAAATGAAAGTTTTAGATCTTGTTTTTACCTACGCGTGGATATAAATAATGTCGAGAGTAGAGCTCGTATGTTAAAGATACGGACGAAACTTGGTCCCTACTCTTCGAGCGTGATAAATTCGATACAATTTTGTAAATCTGAGATAGAATGAGAATTAGCTGACAGCGTCTAAATGAAAGTTGTAGTACTCGTAAATACCAACGCGTGGATATAAAGAACGTCAAAAATGGAGTTCGTATGAACGAGTTACAAATTATAATAGCATATTTACGTATTAAAATAAAGTATAAATCCTATATACGTACACATATATATACAAATGTATATATCATTAGAAAGGTATCGACGATGCGGTTATTATAAGACTAGTGTTGAGTACTTTCGACATTAGTTTAGTACAAATATCGTTAAATCTATTTAAAATAGTATTATGAAGGGGTGTTTAGTCGTTTATATAACTATAAGGTCATTAAGTAATTATGGAGGGTAGTTTTTGTAAATTCAATTACTATAAATAAGATGTTTGGGCTCTCGTATTTTTTGCACAATTCTCTTGATTCAAGAGTCTTTATCTTCTTATCCCCCGAGCATTTCGATCCCTCGTGATTCGACTTCTCTTTCTGTAGTTTTAGTATAGTAAGGTGAGTGCTGAAGCGCTGCAAGAATCTTTCTTAGAAAGATTCAGCGACGAAGTTCTGCCCCTACAGAGCCCGACTCCTAGCTAAAACTCCCTTGTAAGTAAGTTATGCTTACCCTATTTTAAATATAACTTATATTTAAAATTACTATTGTTATTATGAACTTATAATAAATATTTGGGCTATTATTATGACTTATATAAGTGTCGTTATAATATCTTTTTTAACTACTCGCGGTACGGGGAATCTAGTTTAAAGGGTCGCATAGGGTTGTTGGATTTCAGAAGTGCTATATGCCAAAATGGTCCTGCCCTCCGGTGTTTTATGTCTGGCCACTCTCTGTACATAGTGATTGGAAAATATTGTTTAAACGCTTATATAATAATAATAATAATGCTAAGACTAATAATTAGTCACGGTAAATATTAGACTAAAATCTAGTGGTAATAATACTAGGTTTCGACGAAGGAAATTATATTGTTAAGAAGCGAAGCGCTGTCCGAGTTTGGAATCATCACTTTAACAAGTGAGTGCATAGTTACTTTCATGTTACTCATAGATATGAATTATTTTATATAAATTACGTGTTATGTGTGCATATTATTTGAATACTTGTTTTCTATGCTGGATGAACGATTTTATAAATGTTTTAAATAATTTAAACTGTATATGTATTTTATATCTACGAACATGTTGGGTAAAACATGGGTAGATGAATGATGAGAGATGAAAGATGATATGAGTGAATATCGACAGCTATAGACTTAGTGCCTAACAAATAACATCGACAGCTATGGACTTAGTGTCTATCGAATAAACATTGGTAGTTATGGACTTAGTACCTGTTAGATAAACGTTGGTAGCTATGGACTTAATACTTGTTAAATAAACTTTGGTAGCTATGGATTTAGTACCTATTAGCTGAACATTGGTAGTTATGGATTTAGTACCCGATGAACGAACTTTAGCAACTATGGAATTGGTGCTTTACGAACAAGCATTGGCAACTATGGACTTAGTGCCTGTCATATAAACCCTTGAAGCAATGAGCTTCAAAATGAACGAATGAATGATAGATGATTCTTAGGGTAGATCCTTAAGAGTAAGGAAGATAATGGGGATTGGTAATTGGGTTAAAAGAGATGTAGATCACTAGTGTAAATGAATGTAAGATCTGTTTATGCTTATGTTTCTGTATTAACGATGACATCCCAAATGTTTTAAAATGGATAAAAATACATTTATTCGGAAATGCTTTGATAACGTATTTATCATGTTTTTCTAGGAACAAATTTCGCAACGTTTTTATTAAAAGAGGTACTCTGATTTTTATAAAGCATAAACAAAATCGGTCTTTTCTGGCCGTGAAAATGGGGATGTC